GGGGGGGGGGGGGTTAAGAGGGGGGTTACTCCCTCCTAGAATCTCTCTAACCCCTCTTGTAAAGTGTTCAACCCCACCAAAATGTCACTTAACCCCTCCTATTTTGTGTGAAAGGCTTTAACCCAAACGCCTAACCCCTGCCGAAGGTCTCTTAGTCGTGCCACTTGCACCCCACCAGAAATTTTTCTACCCCTCCTTTTAAATAAATGAAAATCCGCCCTTGACGTGCTTGCCAGCTTTGAAAAGTTTTCAAGAGAAATTGTTCATTGTCAATGTCTTTTATCAAAAAATCATAACTGTTGGTATCATACTGAGGATATTACCAAAGATATTTGAAAGAAGAACCATCAATAAAGAACCTCAAGGAAAATATTTTGAAAAGTACGCATTACCTAATGTTTCACAGTGGCCGTTCTGTCGACAAATGTTTTTTCTATGAAGAAAAAACAAAAGAAAGAATTTATATAATTAGTATGTACAAAACGTAACATAAGATAGAAAATCATTATTAAGGCCTACTTTGGGGGCCAAGGTCGCCTAATTTCGCCCATGTGCACCCAATATTTGAACTTTGCCTGACAGTCTATTTGCCTAATTAATTACGCTTAATATCGCCCAGTTTCGCATATACTACTTTTCTTTGAAAATTGCTAATGTCGCACAATGTTTCACATAATAACGGCGACCTTGGCCCCCAAAGTAGGCTTTTATTAGCTATCTATAATAACTATTTCCACTACTAATAATAATTCATTTTAAATAGATATTTTAATATATTTACCTTGTAATTAAAACAGCAGTATCATAATGACCAGCATCTGAATCAGACTCAATGTTTTGTTTATGTTGCCAAACGCAGAACGCTCGTAATGATTTCTTCGCATCACTTGTTATTCTTAAATCCTGCAATTAGAAAATGTTCTTTGGAACTTTGAACTATCTTTGGGATCTCAGAGTTAATTCAGCATTTATGTCCTGTTTCCCATGTACTTTTAAGCAAAATCATACCTCGTCATTCTTCAGTATCTTTATTCCAGTTAAGACAATTTCAATCGAGTTGCCGATCTTTGGATCAAGAAATATATCATGGACCTAAAACAAGAAAATTTTTTACAAAGATGAAGGGCATGGAACGAACCAAATTTAGGGCTTGTTTCCAGTTTTACTCTACCAAAGGTTTCCTCCTGGAGTAGAAAGGGATGGCTTATCCAGTTGGGCTTCCTCCTGTAGTAACATTGGATCAATAAGAGATGACTCTTACTGGGCCTCTAGGGAGAACAGTTTAGAACTGATAGAACTATCCAGTATAAATAAAGTTAGTTTAGTTTAGGTTTCCTCCTGTAGTAACACTGAATCAATAACAGATGATCCTTACCGGACCTCTAGGAAGAACAGTTTAGAACTGATATAAAGCTATCCAGTATACATAAAGTTTGTTTAGTTTAGGTTTCCTCCTGTAGTAACACTGGATCAATAAGAGATGATCATTACTGGACCTCTAGGAAGAACAGTTTAGAACTGATAGACCTATCCAGTATAAATAAAGTTAGTTTAGGTTTCCTCCTGTAGTAACACTGGATCAATAAGAGATGATTCTTACTGGACCTCTAGGGAGAACAGTTTAGAGATAGCTATCCACTTAGTTACGTTTCGTCCTGTAACAAAGCCAGACTAGGGAGAATTATTGGAAGATAGGGAGAAGTCATGCAGATACTTTAATAATTAGGAAAATCACTCACCACACCCATTATAGTCTGTATGTATCTCTTTAGTTCAAATTCGCTGCCGTAATGATCCAACATTGATTTATCAACAGTGACCATCACCTCGACGTAGCGTGGATAAGACTGTGCTCCTTGAAAGATAACTTCTCTTCTCGAACGGTGACGAACTGCATCTTGTGAACTTGGTAAAGATTGGGGTACTTTGGTGGTGTTAGTGTTTGTTCTGTTCACCAGTAGATCCTCGTCTGTGTTGTAAAGAAGAACAGAAGACTGGTTAATAGGCGAGCATCACAAGTGGGGTAAAGATCAACCTAAAATGATCACGTTTTGTGATTGGCTTTCAGAAACAAAAAGATCATTGTTCGTGACTCGTTCTTTAGAAAGACAATTTCTATAGTTTTATTGTCTTTCACTGTTATAATCAACCAACCACGAGCCTGGGTAGTATAGGTAGATGATGTGAGCAGACAGCTTCCCTCTTGATCTCTTGGAAAGGTACCCAAAAATTATTACGGAAAACTTCGGATTGATCGGGATGTAATTATTAAGTATTCTACCTTTGTATATTTTAACTTGTTGGCATGTAGGGCACCTGTTGATAACAGCATTACTTGTAGCGCTGAAGGGTTTACCCTACTAAAATAAAGTTTTTCATACTCATATGTTAGACTAATTTCTGGTCTAGGCAAAAAAGTAAATTCCCGTAAAGAACTTTTTAAAATTAGTAAAATTGCAAAATTTGCTTACGAAATGTTGTAAAATACGAAAAATATAGCCTTGCGAAGTTTGCATATTTTCTATGTTTGTATTACGTGAGGAAATTGTTGGCCATTTTTGAGCCGAAAATGGTGACACTTTCCGCACGTAATACAAATATATACGAAATTTTCAAACTTTGCAAGGCTACATTTTTCAAGCTTTACGACATTTCGCAACCAAATTTTGCAATTTTACTAATTTCATTATGTTCTTTTTAGCTGTGGTGTTCGATTCCCTTCTCTTTACTTAGATTAAAGTTAGTCTAACATGCAAGTTTTCTTTGTATTTCCTTGATTTTCAAAATTAAAATCTATATTTTTTTATCTTTTCCAATGTGTTAATTTTAGGAGCCCATGATGGCATAGGGACCCACAACAAGTTCTCGTCGGTTCGTCCCTGGCCAGCATGTCCCTGTACCCAAACATTCGGTAGAGTTTGCAAGCAGAAATATTTACTGCAGTTTAAAATAGTGCAGCCAAATATGTGTCCTCTATTTCCGGGCCCATGCAAAGCTGAATATAGCGTCAACATAGTGCTGATTTCCACGAAGGGCGTCACACAAACAATACAAAGAAAATAATTAAGTTAAAAAGTTACAATTTAAAAATACTATATACAAGAGTTAGTTTAGCACGTATAGCACAGAATCATCCTCTAGCTTGCACCTATCTCTTTTTTTTGAAGCAGTCGAGAGTAACCGCCGATTTAGCTGCAGACGAAATGTCATTCCATAACATAGCGCCGCTGTACTTAAAGCTTCTTCTTAGATATTCTGTTCTAGGTTTTGGAAGAGTTAAATCATTTTCGCTATTTCTGAGATTGTAGGTATTTTGTGTCACATTCCTTTTGTAAAAAGATTCTTTTTGACCCGGGCAGCGTGGTCATTTAACACTTTGTACATAAACACAGCCTTGGATTTATTTCTTCTGTTATCAAGTGTCTCCCAAGACAGGGTATTAAGAATGTCAAGTGACCTTACATCGTAAGTGACACCAGTTATTACCCTTGCTGCGCGAGACTGCTGAAAAGTAAATGTTAACCCTTTGTGCTACTGCTGAAAAGTAAATGTTAACCCTTTGTGCTTAACTGAAAATTGATTTCGCTGAACCCCGCGAAAAGTAAACACCACGAATTCCGGTATATAAGCCAACTAATTTTGATATTTTTCTACACCCGGCGTGCGAGAAGTTAAAAAAATGGCCGCACAAGTAGTTTGATGTAATCGCAATCTATACGCACATGGAAAGCTCGTTAACATCGTTCGCGGCTGTTTTGTTTGCTTGTTAACCAAGGATTACGAATTAAATTGTTTTCAAAAATAATATTTGCTATAGCAGTTTGCAAGAATGTACAAGGAAAAGTTGTGATAACGCGTTTAATAAGCAGTGAAAATGTTTTGTTATAATCGGCAAATCCTATGAAATATTTTGAACGTGTTTTTGTGTGGTAAGCCATATATGATAACTATTTCTCCGTGTTGACATTTAGTCTTAAAATTCTTATGAGACGAAGTTTCACACCATTTTTATGACTGCAACGAAAAGAAAATTCAAAATGAGAAAATAAGATACTTTGGCAAACTATCTATCATGAACTTGAGATATCAGTAACAATTTTTGACATGCAAATTATCACCACTATGAAATCACATTAAATAACGACTTTCTGAAAAATCTTCAAGATCTTAGGATATTGTGCGTCGAAATCATAAAACCGTACGTATGTGTTATGTCAATATACTATAAATATATATTGTGTGTCGACAAATTGGAATAAATTATCTAAAAGAGTTATTGAAAGTTTTTTTTTCAGAAACATGGTGCAATTTGACGCCATAGCGAGAATAATTTGCATATATAACAAAGAGCTAAGATAAGTTCTTTGAATGTTTGCATGGCGATAAAATATAATTATTAAAGAGCTAAAGAGCTAAGATAGTTGTACAAAATGTCGCAAACTTTGTTCAAAGCATATTTCTAATATTTATAAAGCATATTTGATAATGTAAGTCTGGTGTACACTGTCAACGTTTCTGTGATCACAGTAGGAATTTTGCATGGGTAAATTCTAAGTTTTCAAGGATTTGTAAGAAATGTTTGAGGAATCTGACTCGGTGTTAAACACAGTCAGTTTCTTCAAACATTTTTTTACAAATCCTTCAAAACTTAGAATTTGCCAATGCAAAATTCCTACTGTGATCACAGAAACATTGACAGTTTAAAGCAGCGTTAAAGTTTTGAAAGAGGTGGCAAATTCAAACTTTGATAGTTTAAACAAGTGTTAAAAAACACAGGCCACCCATATTGTATCGCTAATACTAATAGCGCAACGACGCAGTAGTGAGGCGCGCAAAATGCTAAAGAACCGCACAGCTGCAAAGTTTATAGAGCATAAAATAAATTGTTTATCTAAAGATGCTGAATAGCTTTAACCCACTGACGCGACCCTGTTTCCTTTAATTACACTAATACCGTAAGAGGTGTGTTTTCATTGCGCAGTATACTAACACAAGTTTTATAGAACGTTACCTGCCGATTAAGGCAGCCACTTGTAGGATTGGCGGAATGCTGGAATACTAATGTGTTTTCAATTAATAATACTATTTGATGTCCTAAATCTCCATTGTTTTATGATTTATACGTTGTTAAGTTCGTGTTTTAAATGTTTTGTTATAGCAGACATCTTGCTATAAGCCAATTTGCTATGAGTCAATCGGTATAATGCCATTTTATTAGCCCAATATATAATCTTGTTTACAGCTTATTGTATAAAATAAACTAAATTGTTAGATTCCTACCAGTCTAGTGTGAGTCTACAGGAAGTATGAATTAATAATGAAATGCGAAAAACCGTATTTATCCATAGGTGGTAATAGACTTATCTTTTTGCTCATTGATATAGTTAATCAATGGCTTTCATACGGATTTTTACATCAAACGCTTGCAAGAAATTGACGCGACATCGCTCCCGTGATAAATATTAATTCTTTTACAAATTACTTGATTTTAGTTTCAGAAACTCGCAAGCATCTGGGAATATCGGGCATGACATACTACTCATTAGGGGTCTGTTGATTCAAAATTAAATGGATAAGCAGGCCTGAGCAACGGAAGTGTACAATCTATGCTTTAGCTGTTAATGTCCGTGACGAGAGGTCATTATTTACTTCTTAGACTTCGTGTCTACATGTTCAGTGTTCACACAGTATGAGTGTGTTATCGATTGCTATTCAAACAGTGATTGTTGCTCATATATGGGCTATATGCTCGTTTAGAATTAAATATCAGGTTTTTTCTAGTGAGATGGTCAAAATCGTGATACTGATTTACGGATACACCTTACATTGCCATCAGGCATCACACTTGTGGATAGAGCTCGACAACTGTCTCTCTGTAGCTCAGTTGGTTAGAGCTCGACAACTGTCTCTCTGTAGCTCAGTTGGTTAGAGCTCGACAACTACTGTCTCTCTGTAGCTCAGTTGGTTAGAACTCGACAACTGGCCTCTCTGTAGCTGAGTTGGTTAGAGCTCGACAACTGTCTCTCTGTAGCTCAGTTGGTTAGAGCTCTACACTGTCTTTCTGTAGCTCAGTTGGTTAGAGCTCGACAACTGTCTCTCTGTAGCTCAGTTGGTTAGAGCTCGACAACTGTCTTTCTGTAGCTCAGTTGGTTAGAGCTCGACAACTGTCTCTCTGTAGCTCAGTTGGTTAGAGCTCGACAACTGTCTCTCTGTAGCTCAGTTGTTAGAGCTCAACAACTGTCTCTCTGTAGCTCAGTTGGTTAGAGCTCGACAACTGTCTCTCTGTAGCTCAGTTGGTTAGAGCTCGACAACTGTCTCTCTGTAGCTCGGTTGGTTAGGGCTCGACAACTGTCTCTCTGTAGCTCAGTTGGTTAGAGCTCGACAACTGTCTCTCTGTAGCTCAGTTGGTTAGAGCTCGACAACTGTCTCTATGTAGCTCAGTTGGTTAGAGCTCGACAACTGTCTCTCTGTAGCTCAGTTGGTTAGAGCTCGACAACTATATCTCTGTAGCTCAGTTGGTTAGAGCTCGACAACTGTCTCTCTGTAGCTCAGTTGGTTAGAGCTCGACAACTGTCTCTCTGTAGCTCAGTTGGTTAGAGCTCGACAACTGTCTCTATGTAGCTCAGTTGGTTAGAGGGACGCAGGTTCGATAGTTTCATTTTTGGCAAGTGTCCCATGAAAACTCCACTAGAAATTTCCATCCGTACAAATCCATGAAGATCCTGGCTTAGGGAGCTTATGTCACAGAAATATTTGAAAAACTCATTAACAATTCATGAAGAAAATTGAAAAGAATGTTTAATGAAGTACTGTATCCACATATTACATATACAAAATTTTCCTGATTTGCACAAAATTTTTCTTCGATAATATTAAAATCACTACTTTTTGAACAATTTCTCAAAACAAAACTGTTGAAATCCTCACGTTATACTGAAATCCTTAAAGCATTCGCGTTCCGGGTAGTAGACCGCGCATGCTGTATATATTACTTATTGGTAGGCGTGTGTGAACAATTGAAAATATTCCCCAGTCTTGTTGTTTAAGGTAAAAATAATCCTAAAGGACCCGAAATCCAACCATTCCACGGATGACTTCACTTCCAAACATAGTTTGAAGCGACTAAAGCTTCCAAAACGTAAACACAAAGGGCCTAAAGGATTGAGTGTTAAATCTGTTTATTCACTTGAGTTGTATTAAAACGTACGCCGGGTTTGCGTGTGTTTTTTTTGGTGTAAGGTGTAAGATTGATAAGTGATTGTCTCCACGGAGAAATGAGTATTTAAAAGCGACGCGCGCCAAAAACGTCATTTGCTATATAAAGCAATTGCGTTTTCCCATATGTACAAATTTGAATAGAGAACATGACATAACTTCATTATAATAAGGTGCGCGCTAGATAAGCGATGAAAGATGGCGGGATTAACAAGCAATACATAATCTGCGCAATAGTGTATACATAATCACAAGATGTCAGAATTACATAGTGTATACAACAAGTGAAATCCTATTATCTTACGCACTCAGATGGCGCCGTGAAAATCATTCCATGCTGTTGCTAGTCCCCGCATTCAACATCAAGCCAAATCTTAATATGGAAAATGGCCAAAAAGCATTAGCTTCCGACCGCCGTCTCGTATTTTCGCCAAAACTAACAAGCAAGCGTGAAGCGCTAAAAAAAATACTAACGTTAACAGGCCTAGACCATTGTCGAGGTTTAAAATACTGATGGGTTGATGCAAGTCTCCTTTCGATCAAACGTGAAAAGACTATCATTTTAACAAAAAAAATTTTCAAAGTTGATATCAGCTCGGATATCAGTTCGTACTGGGTCCTTGTAGATTTACTTTTGGCTGCGATTTTTTTTGTGGAAAACAACGAGCTTCTATATTCATTTGACAAAATATCATGGCCGTAAATAATATATTTGACGATAAAATACATTTTGATGATTAGAATTGAAACGTTTTGTATTTGTGATGAGAGATGATGAGATCGAAAGTTAGCCGTTTGAAGCGAGCGAGAGTTACGGCTCTGATCAACTCTTTCATTTGACCACGCCTGCCTTTACGCACCAGCAAAGAAATGTCCTGCCAAACGAACCTACCGCGTTTGTAAACTCTCGACGCTTGCATTTATATTATCCATTTTCTCTACATCAAACACTAGTAGACTCGGTATTCTCACGTCAAAAGATCACAAATAAAGTGAGGCATGTCTACCGCGCATGCTGATTTTTCAATCTAGGCCTGCAGACCACACAGCTAAAAGGGCACCGGGTATTTCATGGTAAATTACTATGCGATGGTAAGATAAATATTATGTCCTGTGTGTGATGTTTATGTCTGCTATTCTATGGCTATAGAACGGTTGTAAACACACGGAAATGAATGCAAATCCACCGAAATATACAGTACAGTGTGGTTACAAAGAAGCTTTTCATCGATACCGCCATATAGTAGTCTGGGACGTCCAGTTAAAAAGGCGTTTGTTAACTTGGACCGGTACAGTCAAAATATAAGTATATAGACCTTCTGTCTGCTAGGATTCGAATCAAAAGCCTTTGCGGAGCGACCTTTACAAGTCACGTGTGTTTATTAGACGCGTGTACTGAATGCAATTCAAACTAAAGCGGGCTGGCGAAGCTGAACAGCCGCAGTGCATGTAAGAATGTTCGCTCGACACGCGCTGGCAAAGCGACTTTATGAAACTACGGCTTTTAACAAGATAATTTTTATGTCAAATTAGTTGTTCTGTTATCCACAAAACGTTGATTGAGAGACGCATTTTATGTTAAACTCGCATTCCAAAAGAATGTCAGGAAATTTGATTGGAGTTTTGACGTCATCGCTTTGTCGAGACAACAATTTCGTTGCGAATTGAAAACTGACTGATTGTGTCATATTTTGTAACTGGACGACTCTATTATACGTAAATTTATCTCGCTTAAAATTTTCTTGATGACAAGACGAGGTATAAATCAGTTTCATGGCTAACATATTCATCAAATACTTACCAAGACCCCAATGAGATTTTCCATTTGGTTGTGATAATGTTGCTAAATGATCCGTAACCACGTGACGTCTGGTATATGAGCCTGTTTCGTCCAATCCTGGATTTCTTTCGACCAACGGTCTGATGAGATATACTCCATCGCGAGTTTTGAACGCTCCTCTCTGAAATTGTAAAAATAATGAAATTATTGAAACAATTATTTGTAGATTTATATCATGCATTATATATTATTTCTCGTCTATTGCCGTATTGGCCATGACTTCTATTTGTCGCAACGGTCCATATTAAATCACGCTCAGCTGCGCTTAGGAAAAAACAACAACAACAACAACAACAACGATGACGACGACGACGACGACAAATTAAAAATATCCGTTTGCCTCTCAATGGACCTCAATTTGGGAGTAACAAAATATTGTGAATTTAAAACTACATTGAACTTCCGATCACACTTAAAGCCCCCCGTGGTCGATACTTGGACTCAAGCACCATTGCTGACAAACGGATAATGTAGAAAAAAATTCAGCGGAAATCCCAGGATAACAAGCACCCTGTTGAGCGAAAACAAAATAATTGGCCCTATAGTAGTCTGTACTGAGAAAGCCAGATTAGCAGATACCTTTAGGAGATAGAAATTGTGGCTACCAGTGTTAAGCCAAAAAGTACACAAAAATATTTAGATAATTAAATAAATAAATCAAGGCACGCGATTTTTGCTATTGCTTTTATCCCGGAAATCAAAGTACAGCAAATATCCTGCGGTGCAAAGGCAAAAGAATGACCCCTGATGTCTACAGGAAAATATCTATGTGATATGAGACAGCTGCGATGTCAAGGAGTTAGGAGTACAGAAACTGCGACGTTTCGAGCCATTCGTCGGAAAGTTCGGCGTTTCGAGCGAACGCTAACAGCCTTAAGCCCTGATTCCACGAGCGCTTTTTGTCGAAATATTTCGCCTGTTTCTTTTGAATTGCGACCACTCGAATAAATTATTTCTACTTGATTGCTCACAATTCAAAAGAAACAGGCGAAATATTTCGCATTTAGCCGAGAAAAAGCGCCCGTGGAATCAGGCCTTTAAGGAACACAAGACGAATTGCGAGAAAGCCGAGCACTCTTTAAATCTGCTGTGGCTAAACATACTTGGACTTACGACCATCGTATAAAATGGGACGAAGCAACTATTTTGGCGATTGATAGTCATAAGTCAGTTCTCTCGCAAAATAAGAGAGTCAATTGAAATCGAGAAGCATAATATTATAGATAGTCAGGGGCCGGTTGTATAAAAAAGTGATTAAAGTTAACTATATTAGTGGAAACGTCATCCAATAAGAAGTGCGTATTTGAGAGTTAATCACTATTTAACTACAAAATAGTGATTAAAAGTGATTAAGAGTTTTGTACAACCGGCTCCAGGAGGGAAAGCCACTAGATAGTACGTGGCGTGCTCTCTTTAATGTGCAAAATTAATTTCTCTTGTCTTGGATGCGCGCGCGTTAAATGGAATCACTTCCATAGAGATTATAAATAACACTAGAGGAGGCATCGAGTTTAAAAATTGGGAACGCAGCTAATGGGGGGCAAATTCAAGTCCCGGAGATAAAATCGTGCTCTCATTGGCTGATTTGAAACTCGTCACCAATGGGAACACGAATACACATCCGGGACTTGAATTTGCCCCCCAATAGTCGCGTTCCCTTTTTTTTACTGAATTAAGATTACAAT